AAAAAAAATGCACGCAAAAGCTGAAACCATCCCCCCACATCCTCCAGCCACACTTTGAACTGCTGCTTACAGAAGTGATTTGCAGAACTTGTGTTCAAATGGGGGAAGGGGGCCAAGGCACATGAGGAAAGTATTGCAAATACTGCAACAGGCAAAAGATACTGTTGGCCACTTCAGCAGAGGAGGCCTATTTCTATAAGGCAGCACAGTGGTTTTAAAAATTACCTGAAAATAGTCTTTAAAAAAAATCTAATAATTCTAGAATAGTGTAGTGAATGCCCTTCTGAGTAGGGTAATGGCATCATTCCAGGGGTTCATGACTGACATAACTTACAAATATTTTAAGGTCAAAATGTCCAAATCGCCTCTTGCTCCACATGGGAGTACCTGCATGAACTACTAGTGAAGTGAAATGCACAGCAGAAGCTTGCTCTAGTCTCTGACACTAACCTATTGAGTTCAGACACAGAAGTTACAGTGCTGTGTATCTCTGTCTCATCATATAGGGTCAGATGAGTAGACACTTTCATCCCCCCACAGCAGTTTGTTTTGTAACAGGTATGAAGTCACCAGCACAATGCAAACTGGAGCTGTTGAGTGAATAGGTGTTGGCAGAGCACGTGTTACTCTTTGGCTAGGTCTACACTACACCCCTCTGTCGGCAGAGGGATGTAAATAAAGCACATCGAAAATGCAAATGAAGCGGGGGTTTAAATATCCCATGCTTCATTTGCATAACCATGTTCGTACAGGATCTGTCAAAAAAAATCACCCAGCTGTCGGCAGAACTGCATCTAAACCACGGTTTCAGATTCGAAATGGCGCTTGTTCGAAACAGCGCCAGAATGTGATTATGCAAATGAAATGGGGATATTTAAACCCTCTCTTCATTTTCACTTTTGATGTGCTTTATTTACATCCCTCTGCCAACAGAGGGGTGTAGTGTAGACCTACCCTTTGAGGGGGAATTAGGCACATTTATTAAACATTATTATTTTCAGGTCACTTTTAAAACAACAAACTTGTGTGCTTTCTACCCTGAGAAGGCACCCAAAACACAGATAGCAACAGAAAAAAAAATCAAATTCTCTACATTACATGCTAAGGATCAAATAATAACCTTTCACAGATATAAGACCCCTTTATCAACTTCACATTTAACTGAGCACAGAATTTGTCCCCAACTGGTTCTATTTCTATATTCTGTTTTGGTTTCCTTCTCTCCCTCCACATCTACTTTCATTTCTTTGTTTAGTTGTACCCTAGTCTAGTCTCTTTTTGCAGCTCTTGTTTTTAATTTGCTTGGAAAATTAATAAATATTCTCCCCCTTTTTTATGTAACAGAATGATACAGTAGCCCATTTTATAGAAAGTTTCCCCATCCCTTCATTTGCTCTTGCCCCACTGTTCTGATTCTCCTAGCTTTCCCTTTTATACTTCTTCCAGTTATACTGGTTATTTGTGTTCACTCTTGGCAGCAGAATTAAACTTAGACCATGACTACCTGAGAAACGCACAGTAGCTTAAGTTACAATTCTTTTTCAAATTGATGTAAATACCACCTGCAAACGCCAGTGTGGACACGCTTATTTTAAGAGTAGCAGATTTTGATTTATGTACAGAAGTTCCTAAATGATTTACGCTAAACCACTATTAAACTAAAATCATGTAACTCAGGGTTTTTCCATTGTTGTAACTAAATTATTTTAGAATTTTAGAGCAGTGTTTCTTAAACTTTTTAAGACTGAGGAACACCCCAATTTTTGGTTTTTTAAATGAGGAACACCAAGGATTTTTTGTTGAGGAAAAGGAAAAGGAAAAGGGCCAGGGAGAAAGTTGGGGGGGAAGTCAGGGGAAAGTTATTGAGGAAAAAAGTCACCTGCCACTTTAAGGGTGGCCATTTTGAATTCTGTTGTTCTCCGCAAAACACCTCCAACTGCGGAACACAGTTAGAGCCACCCCTTTAATTAAACTGGTACAGCTCTCCCTGTAGGCAAGCCCTAAGCATCACCCTGAGCACAAAAAGGAGCAAGGCAGAAAGGAAGGGAGAAAGAGCCATTGTGTTGGGAAGAAATAATTACACATACAACATCTATAAAAATGCCAACCACTGATATGCCCACTACCTAAAGCTGCACAGAAATAAGACTCCCAGCTGATGGAGTCAAGTGCACAGTCCTTAAGAGAATACACATGCTGGCAAATGTCCCTGTGGTCAAAGAGTTTTATTTTATAATTTTCCAGTATTGCCAGGTCCATGCAATTCAAAAATCTTGAGACTAACTTAAACAGTAGCTTTTTTTGGTCTTTATTTGCCTTTTTATTTTGAGTCTTTAGGCTTTATGTTTCTAACTTCTCTGTGACCGTGGTGACTAGAATCTTCCTTTCCCCCCTCCCCCCTTTCTTCCACTGAAAGCTGAAATCCTCAGTATTTATAAGATTCCAGGAACTAGGATTTAAAGTAAAACAAATATTTTGAAGATGGAAAATTGCTTTACTTTAGTTTGCCATTTTCCTTCACAATGTAATATTAGAACAATGAACAATAGGACCATCACAGAAAACTCATTAGCTATCATGAATAGATGGGTTACTTCTTTACAGTTCATATGGTGACTAGGTTTCCATTATATTCCCAATTTTTACCCTTCCTCTTGCTACACCAGTCTCCTTTTAATGTCTTTTTGTTTAGACCTGTGGCAGAAGCAGTGCTTTTGGAACATCTGGTAAGTAAAGTGACAAGCCACTAGAAAAAATAATCAAAGATTTTTATTTTTTGAAAGAGAGGTTTCCTGTCTCTTGGTCTGGTAGAATTCAAAGAAATGCTACCATTCAGATTATGCTGCTGTCCTCAAATGTAAAATGGCGTCTTTTGGGGGACAAAATTAAAGATGCTCATTTTCATTTTACTGGTGAAACACTGATATGCACTTGGGTTTTTAGAGAGTCCTGGTAAAGGACTCTCACTGGAGCAGAGATTCTCAATCAGTTTCGGAGCTCACAAAATTTGTGAGTTCTGCAAGATCAGAGAAACTCAGCTAGTGCAAAGAGCCTATTTAGCAAAGCTTAAGAACTCCTCAAACTAGGGTTGCCAGATGGTTTCAACAAAAATACCAGACATTTGACATTACATCACAATCTATATTATATCTTATTTAGAATATACTGGACATTTATATTTTCTCATTTATATTTTATCAATTTGTTTCCCAAACAGAAAGCTTAAAATACTGGACTATCCGTTTCAAAACCAGACACCTGGCAACCCTACCTCAAACTCCTTGGACCTGACTCAGATAGCTCTTGCTTGCAGCCTCCTGGGTTTATCAGCTCCGCAGTACTTAGAGTTACCCATGTAAGTTCTGCAGAGTAAATAAACCCAGAAGCTGGTCTTCTGTGGGAGCTTTCACCTGGCAGAGTTTCCAAGTGACACACTTAAGCAAGTAGCGTCCATTTGCTGCTAGGATCAGGAGAGAAGAGCAGCACCGGAACAGCTGTTGTGAGAGGGCCTTGTATTGCTATCCAGGGACAGATAGGAGGATAGCTTTGCACAGCAAGACAAGGGACATTATGGCCCTTAATGTGTGCTCAATGACTTTTGTACTGATGTTTTTAATCCCTACCTTAGGACTCAAGTGAAGGCCAGCATGCAGTTTGTAGGAGGGTTTTTTTTTTTTTAAATGAACAAAAAATTGTCTGTCAAGGAAAAAAAATCAATACTAAAAGGTAATGGGAAGAAATAGGTATTTTAAAAATGTTAAAATTCCAACCTTTACTTTCATACTTCTCCTTGAGCCCCAACCATCATATATCACAGTTAACACAGGACTCCCATTATCACAGAAAGACACTCTTGCCAATACAATACTGGAAGGTAGACCTTCCATTAACTTTCCTGAATAGGGATCGGCTGCAACATTTCCACATGGTCCTCGATACAGGGATAGTCTCACTGCATGTTGTGAGAGACCATACTTTTGAAAATTATACACACACAAAAAGGAAGACATTTCTTTCATGATACATTGCTAGAATTGTCCCATTACTAAGTGGAGGATAAATGACAGTAAGAATGCAGTTCCTCAGTTAAGGTTCTCTTTCTCTCTATCTTGATTTCCAGGATCTTTGCTTAAATTTTCAGAAGTACTAGTACAACATTTCATTTCCGGTCTTTCAGGGGTTTAATCTTACTTTTAATTTCATGCCAACTCTGACTTGCAAACTTTTTTTTAAATTTCTTAAATTACAGTTCTCTAGGAACGTTTAAAATTGAGTGTGTCTTTTGACTTGTTAAAAAAAAAAATGCAGCTTGGAAATTTAAAGTGAAGATCTCATTCAGTCTACTTATTCCTTTGTATTCCAAGTGGAACATGAAAGACATTGGATTCAGTTTCATTCCGGACACAAAATTTCCAAGCATGGGAAATTCAAAGTAGAGGAAATATTGAGGCAGAATCTTCATAGGAAATCTAGAGTGGATACAGGAGAAGAGCAGAATGGACAGAAGGGAAAATAAGAATCCTGTACTAAGTGAATAAATTCTTGTTGTGTGTGCTAAAAGAAGGAAATGTACATTTTCTTTTCTTACTATCAACATTTCCTACACTAGCTGACAACTTCTACCCACTTTTTAAAAAACACTATCCTGTATTTATTAGTAGCTGAACATTAGTTTTATAAAACTGATTCATTTGTTCACTAAAGAATCCACAAAGGCCCTTCACAAAAAAAAGCCAGTAAGTGTCGTCAGTGTAAATCTGAATAAATAAATATTTTTAAACAATTCACCTGTACACCATCCCAGTGCAACAAGCCATGCTAAATGCTCTTTCCATGCTCATAGTAATGCCTCCGAGTTTGCTCCTGTAATAGCTCACACTTACAAACAGCTACCAACCCAAGTCTTCTACTAAAGCCTTCCGAATCAAATAACTATTAAAAGGGATCTTTAAAAATGTACCTTGAGAGCGAGTAGAAACAGACATTTCAGAAAGACTAACCTGTGGTGTTTAATCCGTTGGAAATCACCAAATTCTCAAGTTCCCCTAAATAATCTTGTTGCTTGTTTCCTGTAAGAGCTGCATGTGACATCACCACTTCCTCACCACACCTTGTTAAGAAGCATACTGGTTAGAAGCATATAAAGAACCACAAACACACTGTAACTGCTGTGTTAAGAAACAATTCATACATTTCTGCATAGCCAGGAAGGCACCAATACATTCCTTTTGGGGCTGATCTCAGACGACTAAAGGGATCACTATCTGATGCTCACTTATATTAATGCTGCACTGTAAATGACAATATAATTAGCTGGCTTTTTTTTTTTTTTTTTTTTTTTTTTAAAGGAAGCATGAATGGCCTCATCAGGCACCAATTAGGCACTGATGCTGTGGCGCATGGGTATGAAATTTCAGTCTGAATATATTGCTCACAGGCTTTTCAGAATAGTACTAGGTTCAAAGTATCGATTTTGCATAGAGGAAAAATGTACTAAAAATTTGTTTTGTAGAAAAATAGTAGTCAGTACAAAAACGTACACATCATTGACACAATGTACTTATTTCTCAGAGATGTTCTCAGGAGCAATTCTTTAATGCGTATAAAGTGCTTTGAAGACAAACACTCTTTTCATTTACTGTAGTGTACATGCCAAGTAACTCCATCCAATGACGGACTTGACAAACACGCAGGAACAGAACATAAACTAGGTAGGAGAGGGTTGGTGAAAATTATGAATATGATTACACGGTTACTCATTAGATAGTGCTTTTGAAATGTATTTTCAGCAGTGATTTGAAGTCAGGAATGGAGACCTGAGCAGTGGATTTTGGATGAGCATTTCAGTCCTCAGTGGCACCATGAAAGGACACACCAAGATATTGTAAGGAAAAAGAATTATAGGAAGCTGCCATTACAAATGGACTAAAAAGACATGGAAAAAGGAGAAACAAAATATTGTAATGCTGAAAGCTGTTAATGGTGGCCAACAATCACAGACCTGGTGAGAAACGATGGGTGCCCTAAACAGCCTTTTTTTTAAAAGCACACTGAAGGAATAATTAATTTTTTGTTTTGTGATAAATGAAACAATAGAAGCCACAGCTAAAGGTAAGTGCCACCATGGCAAGACTTCAGTAGAAACTAAGCCACATAGACTGAAGGGTTTCCTGACTAAAAATGCAGGGGGTAGGGCACTGGTTTGCTTCTGTGTGCCTCCATGTATGTTTAAAAAAAACAGAAAGCAAGTGTGCAGAAAGAGAAGCAATGGGAGTGAGGCTTGGCAGAAAGCCCTCAGAATGAGCTTTGAGCATATTACTTGCAGAGAAGGAAGATTTGGATTTCTGGATGAGGAAACTGCTTCCCATTTGTTTCTGTGTTCAGGGAAAACAGACAATTTGTGTGCAAGTTAACAAGAATGCATCAAAAAAATAGATGACTCAATTAATCAATTTCTCCCCTGAATAGAAACCATCACACAAGGCCCCAGGCTAAAAGGGGCAACAATATAGACTGATTTCTTATCCGATCTATTCTGTCTTCCCCAAGATCTCTGAAATATGAAAGGCAACATGCATCTACGAAATTATAGGGCTCCCCAGTTCCTGGAAAAGCTATTGCATTTCTCCTTCCACTTTGTACCATCTGTCCTCATGAGGTGGGTGCTGTGTCCACATATTTTCACAATAAGTCTTTCATCTGAACACTTCAAAACACTTTTCCTCAAATTGGCAAGTATTAATCCATGTTTCGGATGGGTAAAAAAATGGAGGAAGAGACAAAGTTAAGTAACTTGCCTCATGTCATAAAGTGAGTAACTGGCAAACAGACCTGCCTCCTAGCCCTATGCTCTTATCACTAGGAAGGATTGCCCAAGATTGGAATGGGGGAAGTGCTTTATGAATTCATCTTCCCCCACAACAATTTATACCAATCGGGACAGCAATACCAATTCAAAACTTAAGAAAATTTGGGTGCTGGATGTTAGGTAAACAATCCTCCAAGAAAACAAAGAGATTAATATTAGGAGGGCACAACTCTGTGTGTGTCAGTCTGTGTGTAAACTAAGCACCTGCATGCAAACTGGGTACTTGTGCATGTAATTCCCATTTTGGATCTACAAGTGCCTGTTTGTGCATGCACCTGCAAGTGCCTGTGCTCACACTGTGTGCATGCATGCACAACCCTATGTTTGCAGACATCCTTGCTGCCTCCACCATTGAAAATTTGGGCCCAAATGAGGAAATAAGGGCCATAGTATTACTTACGTTAGAAGACAATTTAGAGCACTGTGAAATGCTTTCAGTTAGAATAATCTTTCTCTGAGCATGCAAACATTCTGCTCTGTATGCCTCAGCACTAGAGGAATGAAGGGAAGTTGAAGAGTTCAGGAACTTGCTCTATGTTTGTTCACAACACACTGCTCCATTGTACTCATCTTCTGCTTAAACCGATCCTTTAGAAGTTTTTCAGGAGTAACAGTCACTGCTGATAAAAGTGGAGATTTTTTTATTACACGAAAAAGGCAACATTTACAATGGCACATTTAATATAGGAACTGCTAGTTAGAAATAGAAAGCTAGATCCTCAGTTGTTCCAGGTCTTGGCTTGGTGCAGATGGGCGTGAAGGGGGCATAGGACGCTCTGTACACTTAGGGGACAGGTTGTCTTCCAAGTAACTTAGAGCAGCCTCAGTGCTGCTTTAAAATTATGCCTGGCCATAGTTGTTCCCAAGGAGCTGCCACAAACAAGAGATAATCAGAGTGCGGCAGTACTCCAGCATTACCTTCCTTGTCCTGAGGTGGTGGTGGAGCTCTAGCTAGGCCATTCTTGTACTATTAGGGAAATTTACAACACCTCCCACTTAGCTGGATCTTCTGGGTTTGTGGGTGCTTGGAGTCTCCACTGTAGCTGCTCTGACATCTCCAAAATAAGGATGGAAATGTGCACCCGAAGGTCTTTATGTCCACCTCCCATGGACAAACTCGTTTTTCTCTTCTATCATATTGTCCATCCATGCCAGCCATAGGGGGGCTGTACTCTGGTAGATCTGGGAGCACTGCTGTCTCTGGCAGGGGGTGTAACCCAATATATTAATTACAAATGACTGGCTCACCTCCTAATGTGGTGTGTCCTATACACACAGTGAAACAAAGCCATTCCTTTTTTTGAGGGCAGGAGTCAATACCTAAGGCTGTGTCCAGACTCAGGGGTTTTTTCGGGAAAAGTAGCCTTTTTCCGAAAAAACTTCACCTGAGTCTAGACTGCAGCCGCGTTCTTTCGAAATTAAATCGAAAGAACGCGGCTTTTCTTTCGACGGCGGTAAACCTCATTTCACGAGGAAGAACGCCTTCTTTCGAAAGTGCTTCTTTCGAAAGAAGGCGTTCTTAAATGTAAATAGGGCTTCTTCGAAAGAGAGCATCCAGACTCACTGGGTGCTTTCTTTCAAAAAAGCGGCTTGCTCTTTCGAAAGTTCCACATGCAGTCTAGACGCTCTCTTTCGAAAGAGGCTCTTTCGAAAGTATCTTTCGAAAGAGCCTCTTTCGAAAGAGGCTTGCAGTCTAGACATAGCCCAAGTTCCTCCCGGTGTGCAGCCATATAACCAATGAAGGGGTGATATATGCAATAACTAGACAGTAAGTTATATGAAAGGGCAGATTTTTAGAATTGGTCCTGATCCTTCCCTCGCTGATATCACTACAGTATGCAACAGTAACTTACAATTGAAGAAAAAAAAAATAGAGCACCCTTACTAGGAGTGAATGGAGTGGGGGGTATAGATCTAGAAAAGAGGAATGTAATGTACCACTGAGAATTGTTGTTGTAATGTCATATTATGAGATTTTGCCACACCTGCACACTTAAACAATTGAACCTTTGGGTCAAAGATCATGCTAACAAACTTCAGAGTATCTACCAGTACTACGTACAGTACCATCTTTTATTCACGCAAGCATACATGCTTTTGTAAGATGCTAGTACACATGGCTATCATAATTTATAAATGACGGTTGTTGTCCCAGATGGTTTCAGAGAGCAGAACAAAAACCATGGAATGTTTGAGGCTTCTTACTTGAAAAGAGCAGAGTTTATGAAAATACTTGCCAGTATATTGGACAATATACACAAATGGAGAATGCACAGCCCAAAAGTCAATTTGTGGCAACCGTGCCAGAGCTAGTGCCCGCCGTAGAGAGTTGGACCACATATCGGAGATGTGGAAATTCACATATACTTAACTAAATCTGGCAGTCTGCGCACACACACTGATATAGAAAATATCTCACAATATTTTAGTAATCTAATGTTCCCCTCAGAGCTATAACTGCGCAAAAAGCCATTGCACCAACGTTACTGGGTAAGAGTTTGTACTGGTCCTGAACTTTAACAAGCAAGACATACATGAATGTAGGATCACTACAGCATGTGCAACTGCTAACAAGTAAAGAACCATAGACAGATAGATACAACACTATTTGTTGATTTCATCTTATTTCATCTCATCCTCTTGTCTGAAGCAAGCTGGGATTGGTATCTGACTCACTGATTATATTGTTTCAGTGCTTACAAAGCCATTATACAGAACTTAAAACTATTTTTTAAATAAACCATTTTTCATATTTAAAAAACCCTTTACAATGACCCTGTTACGAGTTTTTTAAAAGGACAATTTTATATTAGGGGCTAAATAACCTCCTACCTCCATTCTTTAACCAAATACCAACTGTAACTACTTAACATACTGCTTTGCTTGAACACTCAAATGCTAACATATCTACATATATTTTAAGGACAGGTTCTCTTAATACTGAATATTTTAAAAATAATAATCTTCCAATTATTTTGGTATTGGGACACTGAAGAAGAGGTGTTCAAATGTCAAAGCAGGAGTGTGGTAGGCAATAGATGCTGAAAGAGGTTCAGGCATGGAAACTGGGACTTCTCAACAGTTTATAATCCCTGCTGTTTCCATCCTCTTGCTCATTATCAGCACAGATGGGGACTGCAGATTAGTAAACAGTAGGAGTTTGGTAGTGGGGTGAACTAGAGCATGTGTGATATAGGGCTAGGTGTCCTGTTGGCATCAGCGGGACTTTGTAGTGAGATTTAAATATTTACTGGATGTCAGAGAGGCTCCCTTTAACAAATATAAGAACATTTTCCTGTTCCTTAAAAAGTATGACTGATAAGTGATCCGAGTCAAAAAAGGACTTCAAGCAAATCTTTGAGAACCAAAAGTTTTGAGTTGAACTCACCTTTCCAGTTATCATTTGGAAGAACTGAAACACCGCGCACATGCGCACACACACACACACACACACACACACACACACACACACACACAAAACACTCGCTGTTCTCATATCATTTCTGACTTGTGGAAAACAGAAGAAAAAGGAGTCTTGCCTCAAAACCTAGTGTGTGGAGAGCCTTTGAAAAGATTCAAATAAATGAATTTTGAATATTTTCCAACAAAGTTCAAGGTCTTTAGAGGTCTACGCCTACTGTTACAACTAGAGGCACATGCAAAGAAGAGACTAAGTTTTTTAGTTTCTGTCCACTGTTCTAGCTACAGGATGCATAGTCATACAGCTAAATCTTTGCTTGGTACCATCAAAAGATCGAGAAACTAGTTAGCTTTTCTACATATAGTGAGTAATAATTGCTAAACTGGCAAATAGTAGTCTGGCTCCTCCCCCCCCCCAAAAAAAACAACAACAAAAAGTCCTGTTGGATTAGAGGACTCCAATTTTAGCCTAATATCAGGAATCAGAAAAAGGACTTGTTATGATGAATTGTATTGGTGTCTGTCTGTATCCACACAGTACATGATTTCTAAGTCTACTGCACTTGGATACAGAATAAGACTGATAATGACAGAGCAGCATTTAAAAAAAATCATTTCTGGTTATTTCAATCTTTCCCCGCTTCCCTTCCCCCCTAAAAAATGGCCATTTTTACTACAGAGGGCCTTACACTTCTCTCATTTATTCCAGTGCAAATCAGGGGTCTAATTACAATTGTATTCATTATAGCCACTAGTATAAAATCCCTGGAAGTAAAATCAGAATTTGTCCCATGCTTCGCAGAAGGTATTACAGCAGAATACCTCCAACACTTTTCTAGATTATTGAGTTGTTAATGGCATGTCTGCTGGCTACTCATCCTTTTGACTGCATTCTCATTAGATTGTGGTGATGGTGATATTAAAAAGCAGAAGTTTAATTCAGCAGCAGCAATTCGGAGTTCTAAAGGTTGTTCATACCATATCATAGATATGCTTTCTGGTATCAAGAGTTTCTGTAGCTTGTATAATTGGATACAGCATTCCTTAGGAAAAAAAAATCAGAACTCCCATTGACCTCAGATGAGACCCTCAACTCTGCTAGAACAGAGTAACATATTTCTCTTTCCCAAATGTTTGAATCACAAAATTTTACATTCATATTTGAGTCCAGCTTGGTTGTTTTGTTTTTTTTTACTTGACACACTGTTAGAATTTAGAGCTTTTAAGATCAGAAGAAATATTATTGATCATCTGAGAAAGCCACTGGCCTATCAATTTGGAGCTGGTGTGAGTGGCAAAAAAGAAGAGAATGCACTTGAGGTTGTTTAAGTAAAAACATTGGTAACCACACACCTTGTCACCTTCCTGTGTCACACAGGCCACAGAATTTCCCCAATTAATTTCTGTTTCAATGCCATAACTTCTGCTTGAACCAAACAGAGAGAGAGTGTTGAAATCCCTAAATCAAAAAAATAGAGATTCTACCACATCCTTAGCTAAAATTGTTCCGGTAGAGGGAAATTTGTAATTTGAGCATTATTTCTAGTCTGAATGTGTAATAGTTTCAAATATTAATTCTGTTCTTGTGGAGTTTAGTCATTACTAATTACAGACAAACTATTAACAACTCTTAATTTACAACATGTACACACAGTGTAAACCTATTTTAGGATTTTCCACATAGGTAAATATACCACATAGGTATATTCCACAGCAATTGGACACCTAATCTACATAAAACTCAGAATCTCACTGCTAATAAAGTAGTGATGTGCATCTCTGCTTTTTTTGGAAAATTTACCAGCAATTTCACATAAACAGGAGTTTTGGCTTAGTGAAGAATTTAAGGTTCTAATATGTTTCCATTAGCTTTTTTAAAATTCTTATTAATTAGCCTTAGAAACTGATGTGCTCCATTTTAGAGGGCAGTCTCAGGGCCTATGTGTCACTGAAATGCCACTCACACCCTAGGGATGTAACACAGGCAACATCCCTACAAGTTTACTCAGATTACTATGCCCAGTGAGCATCTGACCCGTCCTGAAAGGTTTTCTTGCTTAGGCTAAGGGAAGGGGGTTAGGCTTATGCGGATTCATTCCTTGACCACCTCATGCATTTCAACATGAAAGCTAACTAGTATCTCTTCTGATGCAGACATTTGTCCCACTAGAAATAGACGCCCATGAACTCACTCATTTCT